GCAGCCCCAACGCCAGTTTGCCGAGCCAGCAGCAGCTCCAGCTCCAGATACTCAGATGACGAAGCTGGAAAATATTCTAGCTTCATTCATGACGAGCACTCAGGCGACTATCACGAGGCTGGATCAGAGTGTAGCCTCACTGGAGGCAGGTCAGAGGAACCAGGGTGCCATTTTGAAGGATTTGCAGACCCAGGTGGGCATCCTGGCCCGCCAGAACACCACCAGGTCACCTGGGACTTTGCCTGCCACCACTGTCCCGAATCCTCGGGATCCTCACCAGCTCCAGCAGCTTGATGCCATCACTACCAGGAGTGGCAAGACCACATCAGCTGCTCCTGCCCAGCCCAGTCGAGATGATCCACTACCCGCTTCAACACTTCCAGCTGATACTGCAGACGTGGGGGAAGACACAACAACGCCTGCTCCCAAGCCACAGCCAGTGGTTAAGGAGCATGTACCTCAGCTTCCTTTCCCCACTCGCCTGCATAAAGACAGGCTGGAGACTGAGTTTGCCAAGTTCATGGCAATGTTGAAGCAGGTCAACATCAGCATGCCGTTCGTGGAGGCACTGTCGAAGATGCCCAAGTATGCCAAGTTCATGAAGGACCTCCTCACCAACAAGAAGAAACTTGGGGATCTTTCGACAGTGATGCTGAGCGAGGAGTGTTCTGCCATCCTGCAGAACAAGCTGCCTGAGAAGCGAAAAGACCCAGGGAGTTTCACTATCCCTCTCATTATTGGCAGCATGCATGTAGGGAAGTCCTTGGCGGACCTAGGCGCTAGCATCAATGTCATGCCTTATAAATTGTTTAAGAAGCTAGGCCTAGGTGAACCTAGAACTACTAGGATGAGCATTCAGTTAGCTGATCGTTCTATCGTGCATCCTAGGGGTATCATTGAGGACTTGCTTGTTAATGTAGGTACATTCACATATCCTGTGGACTTTGTTATTTTGGATATAAATGAGGATGTGGATGTACCTTTGATTTTAGGTAGACCGTTTCTCGCCACCGCCAAGGCGCTTATTGATGTGCATAGTGGTAAATTGATTCTGCGTGCTGGTGATGAACAGGCTACTTTTTCTGTGTCTGAGAATGGGAAACACCCTCATTTGCATGATGACATAGATTACTGTGATATGCTTGCTGATTATGAGACCGCACTCGCCATCACGAGTGCGGGTACTGACGATGTTCTTGAGCGTTGTATTTTGCTAGGTGAGCAGGCATCGCAGGAGCCGCAGCTGGCGGAGCAGTTGGCCGAGTTGGAGAGCGGCCCCTTCTTGGAGGGCGACAGACTGTTTAAACCGATCTCATCCTCCACCCGCATCGCTACTTCCTTGGAGGAACCACCAGAGCTGCGAAATATTTAGCCAAAATGGCAGGGGTTCAAACCCTTCGCTAATGTACTTATAATTGCAGCAAAAGAACCGATTCCACTGTACAAAAAAAAACCTATCGCGACCATAAAAACCGATGCAAGGACATCCACCCGCGGTTGGGCAGACCGCTGGTATACATTTGCGACGGTTGTTTTTGCAACGGTTCTGCTGCGGTTACGAAAACCGCTGTCGGGCTGGTTAGCGACGATTTTTTCCGTTGCTAAAAGTAAAAAAAACCCTGCTATATGTGTTATATTTTGTAGTAATGAGACTAACGGTCAACGAGGGTAACGTTCGGCAGCTGGATAGGTGGAAGGTCGACAATGAAAGAGAAGAAGAGATTTTCGGGAAGAAAACAGTGTTGGTGAGGGTTCGTTTCTTTAATAGTAAAGATTGAGATAATAGTAGTGAATAAGCACTTCTACTAGTGTATAAAGCTTTGGCATTATTAATGTGCAACTTGAAGTTGTATTATAACGTTAAATGTATAAGTTCAGGTTGTACCGTAAAGGAATTTGTACCCTTATGTAATGGTATAACAAGTTCAAGTTGTACCTTAAAGAATATGTACAAAAAAGTATAGATACAATCTGAAATTGTAGCATAACAGTAAAGGTACAACTTCAAGTTGTACCATAAAGGCAAAAACCTATAACCAATGTTATATAGCAATGTAAAATTCCTCAATGGTGAATAGGTTGTTGATTTCGGATAGAGATTTATTTAAAATAGGAAGAGTGGGGATCTTATTTATGGTTAGGAGGATTTTTTTTAAGATTTATCCTTTAAGAGTTACTCTTTGGGTTGTATAATAGATGGAAGTTTAAGAGATGAATAATATCATTAGTTTATAATTTTACTTTTCCCGTATAAAAAATTCGCATTCTTTTTTTGTTGAAAGAAATAGCAGTCTTTATGTTGTTAATGCAGCTAACTATATGCAATGGTGACTCGCCTATATCGTCACACTAGAAAGTGTCTAAGTGTAACCACCTACTATTGCGTAGTATAGCGTGTTCAGCTTAAATTGTCAACCCGAGTCCTAGATGTGATGAATACTCTGTGAAGTTCTTATTATTTAGCAGTTTAACTGTAGTGAAGTATTAACTAAGCTAAACAAACATAAAGCAGCAAAGGTTGTGCTTCAAGTTTGGGAGAGGTCACCCAGATATAGTTCCCCTAGATTGCAGTTAAGTCGGGCTGTAATTCTCCAAGTCCAGATTCAATGATAGTTATACTGCGGAATGTTCTTATGCAATATGAAGTCTCGACTAAAGGTCTCCAGACCCTCTCAATTTGAATACCTGACGGGCGACTAACCACCACCGGAGTAAACAAACTGAGGCCCTAACGTTCAAAACCTCCTCTACTAGAGTAAATCTAGTACAGAGCAGTGAATTGACTCCTCAACGGAAGTAATCAATTCACCACCTTCAATTAAGGGTGCTCTATCAACCGAGGCAAATATTCTCTTTCTAGGTCAAAACAGAACTACTGGAATTTGATCAGGATTCATCCAATTCAGAAAATCATGCCTCAATCGAATATAATTGATTTGGAATTTTAATTTTAAGGTGTCTGATTTTGAATTTTAATTTGTAGAATTAGTGTAATATGATGATATAACATATGATAACAACTAATTAGCGGATTACCCTAAGCCCTAGACCTCCAATTTTGAGTTCTATCCCTAAACCCCAAATTGTAAACCCTAAGCCTAACCCTAAATCTCTAAACTCTAAATCCTTCAAATTAAAGTAAATCTTCAATGTTTTTTGTACAAATTCATGTGCGTTATTGTTCATCATATCATAAGTGATGATTGACATCATTTTGACATAATCGCATGTTTAAAATGACGGTTATGAAGCGAGTGCACAGAATGCACCGAAAAAAGTGAGTGCACCGAAGACGCCACCATATATTATATTTTAGGCTAGCGTAAGCCCGGGCGTACGTTAGACTACCGTACGCCCGTTTGAGTTTTGCTATTAAGATTATGAATTAACTGGAGTTTTGGGCATGAAACTATATCCTAACCACTAATGGATAAACCCCAGTCCCTAGTTTTCTAACCCAAATCGTGAGATTTGTTTAATCTTAAAATGAAAATCAACAATAATTTCGTCGAATCAGAACCGTTGATTTTCATTTCAAGATTAAATGAATAATGTGCTTTGGGTTAGTGAATTGCGGACTGGGATTCACCCATTAGGGGTTAGGGTATAGTATCATGCCCCAAACTCCGGTTAATTCATTGTCTAAATAGCAAAACTCAACGGACGTACGGTAGGCTAGGATACTTCCGGTCGTATGCTAGCCTTTGCCATATATATGGTTTCCCTATATATGGTACCTTCTACAGTACCCTGGGTGAAATCCGGGGTACCACATATCTTGCGTATGAAAACTCTATCTAAACCTCGAATTAGCAGGATTTTTGGACATTATACTATACCTTAACTCTTAATGAGTGAACCCTAGGTCCTAATTATCTAAATCATAAACCATAAATCCTAAGATAGTGCATTGATTTTTTTGCCTATATTTGGACAAATCATAACCGTCGATTATTGTTTCTAATTAAATGGATCTTGGGGTATAAGATTTAGAGAATTGAGACCTAGATTTTGATCTTTAAGGGTTAGAGTATAGTATCATGTCCGTAAGATCAGTCAATTCAAGTTCTGAATAGCATTTTCTTACTTAAAATATGCGGTAACTCGAATTTCACCCTTAGTACCGTAGAACTCCATATATATAACTCTTGTTCTCTGGTTTTATATTCTCAATTTCTCATTCGTTTCTTTTTATCTCCTACCTCATAGTTGGTTTTGGATCGTATCTTGTAATTCAGCAACTCATGCATTTTGTAATTCAGCAATGTATTTGGCTATTTGCTACAGTATAAGAATTTCTTTCTCTAATTTGTTTGCCAATAAAAAAAAACTTTGATTATGATTTTATTAACGTAAACCTAGTTCTCATAGAATTTTTTTTTTTCTTCATCAACCTAGTCATTAATCGCCAAGGCCAGGTCGGGCACCAAACGCATAAAATCACACTGCAATGGTTAAGTGTCGCAGAACCCTGTCCTTTAATTCATATATATATAGCTCCTAGCCACGAGTTTTGTTGGGTCATTGGCTGGGAAATGTTTTGGTTTTTAGGGTTTATATATATGGTGACTACTTCGGTGCACTCACAAAAAATGAGTGCGTTCAATGCACCCAACTCAAAAACTAGACTTAATGTGTCGGATTTTGAATTTTAATTTGTAGAATTAGTGTAATATGATGATATAACATATGACAACAACTAATTAGCCGATTATTCTAAACCCTAGACCTTCAATTTTGATTTCTATCCCTAAACCCCAAATTATAAACCCTAACCCTAAATCTCTAAACTATAAATCCTTCAAATTAAAGTAAATCTTTAATGATTTTTGTGCAAATTCATGTGCATTATTGTTCATCACATCATAAATGATGATTGACATAATTTTCACATAAATTGCATGTTTAAAATGACGGTTATGAAGTGAGCGCACTAAATGCACCCAAAAAAGTGACTGCACTGAAGACGCCACCATATATATATATATATATTGAACGCCCTACGAACACTTGACCACTAGCGTCACATAAGTCAATGAAGTACCCCTTGCATTCGTACACGCGGCCGCGGCCGCCTCCGTACTAGCACTACCACTGTCGCTGCCGACGTAAGCAAGCGCCACATCTCGCATCTGTATCCCTGAGCAGGGGTTTGCCTTACTGCAGTCAGTGGCGGAGCCACATGAGGCCAAGGTGGGTCATTTGCACCACCTTGGCCCAAAAAATGTGGAGTAATTGTATTTATGTGATTATTGATTGAATACAAGATCTCCATATTATAGTTCTACGAAAAACTAGCATTCTGTAATCTATATTTAATTTTTAATTTATATATTTTGTAAGTGGGTTTAATATAAACAAATACTTAAAACTTAAAGGGTGTTTGTTGCTATCAGTTGTCATTCAAGCATAGACCAGGAAACCGGATCGTACCGATCGGTTCAACCGGTTCAACTGGAAATTGGACCAAAAGCGGTACGGTGGGCTGTTTGGGCTGATTTTACCGTGCCGGCCGGTTTTTTCGGTTTGACCGGTTGAACCGGCCGGTACGATCCGGTTTCCTGGTCTATGATTCAGCTTCATTTCTACGTATTCTCGTCCAATATGTGGAAAATAATTAAAAAGGAATATTATTTTGCTATTTTTCTATGTTGAAAATGGGTCACCGTGGTTGTATAATGCTCTTTTTGGTTCTTTTTTTTTATGGATTATATTTTTTATACTATCGCATTTCATTTCTCTATCAATAGTGAAAAACGGTATTTACCGGTACAAAACGGTTGAACCACGGTCGTACCACAAAATACCATACCAGAAAGGAATCCGGTATGATGTCCGGTACGGTTTCCTTTACCATGCATTCAAGTGATGAAAGAGGACTTACTGCAATAATCAAAGTAAAGAAACACTTCTAAGTAAGATGATTTGTGGAATCATGAACGATTTTTCGTTGTGATATCTTAACATCTTTCATAATTTGCATGAATGTATTTTAGAAAAAATTTCAAAACATGACACATCCTGAAACATACGTTATATATATATATATATATATATATATATATATATATATGGTGGCGTCTTCAGTGCACTCACTTTTTTGGGTGCATTCAGTGCACTCGCTTCATAATCGTTATTTTAAACATGCGATTTATGTCAAAATGATGTCAATCATCACTTATGATGTGATGAACAATAACGCACATGAATTTGCACAAAAACCATTAAAGATTTACTTTAATTTGAAGGATTTATAGTTTAGAGATTTGGGGTTAGGGTTTATAATTTGGGATTTAGGGATATAACTCAAAATTGGAGGTCTATAGCTTAGGGTAATCCGCTAATTAGTTGTTATCATATGTTATATCATCATATTACACTAATTCTACAAATTAAAATTCAAAATCCGACACCTTAAGACTAGTTTTTGAGTTGGGTGCATTGAACACACTCATTTTTGTGAGTGCACCGAAGTAGTCACCATATATATATTATTTCATGTTTGACCCACCTTAGATTAATTTCTGGCTACGCCACTGACTGCAGTCGAACCTCACCGCGAACTCGGTCCTCGACGTGCCACGTACATTCCAGTACCTGATGTCACTGACCTCGACCCCTGAGGCCCGACCGGGACAGTTGCGGTTTCCGGGGCAGTAGTTATGGTCGATGAGGATGGGGTTCTGGACGCCTTCCATGACGGTGTGCTGGAAGAGCACGTCCCTGACGAAACCCGAGCTGGGGCGGCCCCACGTCTTGATGCGGAGGCCGTTAGTCGTCTCCGTGATGTTGACGGTCTTGACGGTGACGTTCTTGACGCCGGGCTCCTGGTAGGTCCAGCTCAGGCTCCCGGCATCCCGCCAGAGATTCTAACGCCGTCAACGCTATGAAACAGAATCCAGTTCCAGGCATCCCCGATGACGGAATAGTCGGCTGGAGCTACGAGGGTTCCGTCTACACGCACCAAGGTATCGTTGCTCCTACACGGCCCTTCAAACGTTGCGTTTCGGATGTAAAACTTCCTGTTGGGCACGTACACCGTCGACAGTCGTGGGTCGCTACAGGCTCGGCTCCATTTCATCCAAAAACGCCGTCGTCGAGTCCATTTTCGGGTCTGCCCTAGCACCGTAGTTCGTCACGCTGTACACCGGCGGCGATGCAGAGGGGGCCACCGATGCTGCTGCGGTGGCAATGAGGAAGAGGACGGCGGCCACCAGTACGGAAGAAGAGTGGTACAAGTTCAGCATTATGGAAATTGTGACGGCGGTGGCGGAAACCAAGTAATTAAGGGCACGGGCGGGGAAACTAGTGCTTGCTTGTAGTGGTCAATTGGTACTACCTACTTATAATAGAGATTCATTCGTATTGCCTTCCTTTTCTTTCATTATGCGGATTCTATTTCCCTTTTTTACTGGTCCTTGAGAATTTATCTTGGTTGCGGAAGTAAACTAGCGAGCTCCATCTATTCGTTTTGATGATTTTGGGCTTTATCTTTATGATTCTTTCTACTTTTTGGTTGAGGGTTTATCTTGGTCAAATCGATTCTTTCCTTTTCCTCATTCTGTCATGACCAATTAGGGTTAGTAAAGGGAGATAAATGATTCAGAAAACTAGTCGGATGTGATCGCTCTAGTATATGGTAAGTTTTCGTTTTAAGCGAAACGTAGCTCCTTGAGGGCTGAAGCCGGTTCCTTCCTAGTAATAAACCCCACTACATGGATCGACATTGGAGGATTACCAAGTTTTTCTAAGTTGTGAGATGTTTTTTTTTGGTACATAATTAATTTGGATGATGTATCTTAGACTATAGCATGAGACAGACTAACTCTGCGCCTAAACAAGAAGGTGGATTGGGGATCAAATTCCTTAGACTAGTACATCGAGGCTCAGGTTGAAGCAACTTTTTCGAGGCACAAAATACCATAATGATAACTTTTCGAGTACGACCTTCGATATCATTTTACAATTTTTTGATTTGTTATGAACATACACTGAGGCTCGGATTGGAGCAACATGTCATGCCTGAGTTTAACCATGGTTAAGTTACGATCTCAACACAAAATACTTTAATGCTAACTTTTTCGGTACAATCTTAGGTATGCTTACACAATTTTTTTGTTATTCTGAATATACATCAAGACTCGGGTTGGAGCAACTTGTCAAGTCTGATTTAACAAGTATTGAACTACGATTTTAGCAAAAAATAACATAATGTTAATATTTTTGGTATGACCTTCAATATGGTTTTACAATTTTTGATTTTTTTTAACATAAATCAAAGCTCTAGTTGGAGCAACGTGTCAAGTGTTATTTAACCAAGGATGAACTACGATTGCATCATACTGGCTGTCCAATAGAGAAACTCCTAACGAAATCTAAACAAATAGGTGATTTTAGTTGTATGAAATGATTTAACTAATATTGTATTGAACTTTTCTAATACGACCTTCGGTATGGTTTTTCTATTTTTTTTGTTCTTTAGGAACATGTTTCGAGCCTCGGGTTGGAGCAACGTGTCAAGCTCTAATGATTGAAATATGATTTTAGTACAAATTCCTAAAGCTGACTTTTCGGTACGATCTTCGATATGATTTTATAATTTTTAGTTTTTCTTAACATAAATCGGGACTCAGGTCAGAACAACGTGTCAAGCTTGATTTTAACCACGGTTGAGCGACGATTGTACCGTACTGGTGGTCCAATAGAAAAACTCCTTCGGAATCTAAACTGATAAGAGCGCAAAGCAAAATGTTTATTGGTTAGTGAATGTGCATTAAGAAATAAAACTGTGAAAATGTGTAGTAGGGATAGATATGAAAGTGAAAACTAATAATAATTTTCTCTGTACTATCTTCCTGCCTCCCTTTCAATTACCTTTAGTTGTATCACACATGTGTGATATGATAATACGACACGATTATATTTCATAAATTGTATCACGATGTCGTGATACGATGCAGTTTTGCAGGTCGGGATTTTGTATAGTATCCACTCCCTTATAATAATTATCAACTTAATAATCCTAAAATATCCCAAAACCTCCCTTAAGAATAGCCGACTTCCACATGGGACATAACATGATATGCTCATCATCAATGTCATCATCGTCCCTCAGCCGATGACTATTCCTGCGGGTGAGAAAAAGAGAGTGACAGTTGTACATGATAACAAAGTGAAATGCTAAACGTCGTCCTAAATTTGCTAAATATCGTCCTAAAATTAAAGTGTAAATTGCTAAATTGTCCTTTACAATATAACATCAAAATAAATAAACAAAACAAACAGTGCCTTCCCTCACATCCCACCGCCGACGACCTATCTATATTCTCACCGCCGGCAACACCGAGGGCCTGACCATCCGTCGGGGAAGGGATCCAGCGCCGCCGTCCATCTCCTCTCTCCCACTTCCACTGCGTGTGCTGTCTGCCGGAGAAGAAGTGAACGTGTTTATGTTTGTCGGAGAAGGAGACCGGAGGAAGCCCCCGCCTCGTCGCCGCTCTTCGAATCACTCTGTCCAGCCATTTCCCTTCCCAGACCCCTCTCTCCTTTCCGCGCCACAAAACTAGCAAAGGAAGGCACTCTTTGATCCGTCGGAATAGAGCCCAGCCGGAGAAGAAAACCAGAGAAAGACCTCCGCTCCGCCGCCGCTCTACGATTCTCTTGTCTCCAACCCACCCGCCTTGAACGCCTCTCTGCCTGAAGAAGGAGATGTTGCTGCACCCTCCATCGCTATTTCGTTTGGACCAGGCCCAACCGAAGGCTAGACTTCGGTTGACGTCCAAATGAATTTTTGCTTCGTTCCACTCATGTTTTATTCCTAACTAAAAAATTTTAATTTGTAAATTAAGTCTAATTGTTATTGAGCGTTTGGAAATTTTACTATTTTAGAATAAATATTTTCTTTGTTTTTTTTAAAGTGTGTTTGTTGGTTGCAAATTAGAGAAGGAAAGTTAAAAGGATAAGAGTGTAATTTTCATGTTGGATAGGACGACATGTAGTAATTTTTAGGACGACATTTAGCAACTCTCAAGATTATATCATGTGGTAATCGTAGCAAACTCTTCCATGGGAATTTTCCCGCCGAACTGTGGAAGCTGCGGAGGTTGAAGGTTACCAACCTTTCCGACAATCGGTGAGCCAGTAGCTATTTCAGATTCAGGCTGCGGAGGAAGCAACGTAACAGTGGTGATAGGGAAGTCAGGTGGAAGGAAGTTAGATGGCGGGAACCAACGTTCCATTCCAGCGGGAACCAACAATCGAATCCAGCAGGAACCACGAGTCACTTCTTCCCTTGCTTCTAGCGATTGTATACTTAAATACCGCCCCATGGTTTAATCGGCACCAACCACATCTCACGTTCATCCCTCTACATCTCTCTGAAGTCATTTGTCCAGAATCCCCTTGTCCCTACTAGGCTCACCTTCAACGAAACAATCCATACCATCATCCCCAGACTATGGAAAATGAATCCAGAGGGTAATCCCTCACCATGGCAAGAGGACCCTATACTCGGATGTCGATCCTGGTGTAACAAGGCAAACAATCTCACCGCATCATCGACAATTTGCCGGAATCCACCCAGCCTTTCCGACAACCGCCCCCAACTGCAAACCACAATCAAGACATTAATTCTTAGAATTAATGCAAACTTTCCGTTTAACGGTTACAGAGCAATAAACTCTAAAACGGTATTCGCCGGAAAAGCTCTAATTGGGCTCTCAAATCGTCTAATTAATAACGAGATAGAGCTATTTAAACCTTTGAAAAACAGAGTAATATGTGGTCTCTGCATTAGCCATAAAGATAGGCAAAATATAAGGGGAAACCCAAACCAAAAACACTGTCAATGCAAACATTAAAGGCTGGTTATTACAATTCAATTTCAAATTAGTGAGCAAAGAGAAAAAGTATGTGTCGGAAAAATAATAAATTTGCTCTTAACAAGCCACTCTCTTTTTGGAATCGAGCTTCTATTAGACCATCAAAACAGATCCCACCAACTTGACTTCGGCAAACGTCAATCCAAATTCATACTCCCTCTTAATGATCAATCATCAACCAAACGTTACAATTCGGATGAATAAATGGATCATTGCTAGAAGAATTTCAGGCACTAATCCGCCTATCATTAAGTGCTATAATCATCTAATCACTTCCTTTTATACCCAACAGATTCATAGAGCCCCCTTCTATTCTCAATCATCCAAATTATCCACTAGCTACTCATCTCTTCTCATCCATAGCAAAAGCCTCAAATCAAAGATAGATAATCCCACAATGGCAGGCCCGATTGAGTTCAATGATGAAGTGATTGAGGCAGGACTTACCAGAGCTGATCTAAGCTTGGTGGGTCGATTGCTCTGCTCCACCCATCCTTCTCGAATCAGAGTCCAACATATGGCCAATAACCTCTGGGCTAAAAGGGCTCCGGTTACTGTACTGGATGCGAAACACGAACTGTTCCAGCTCGTCTTTTCCAATCAAACCGACCGGCAAGAGGCACTAAAGAAGGCACTGTGGTTTATTGAGTCCAAAATCTTCACCTTCAAAGAATAGGAGACGCCATCAGAGCGTCTGTACCACGATCTTGCCCGAGTCCCATATCTGGTCCAGTTTTGGAATCTCTTGGAGTAATACCGAACGGTCGCTCTAGGAAGGTTGGTGGCTTCAGGACTGGGCACGGTGGAGGAAGCTGGGATGTATGCAATCTGGAAGTCTCCATGATGTGTATTCAAGGCCATAATTTTGATCGATGTCTCCGCTCATCCGCAACACAAACTGGAAGCAAGGAAACAGAGTGCTAATGGATCGGTAGGCGAGACCTTCCGGGTAAGACATAAGTATGAAACCTCAAAGTGGTCCGCTTCAGATGCAGGAGAATTGGCCATAACCAGAAGAGTTGCTCTTTCGACCTAGTCACCGAAAACAACGACTTTGGCCCTGAGATCTTTGGAAAGCTAACCGAATCCAAATTGAATGAAAATTCATACGCCTCGGCGAAAATCGAGAAGAAGAATTGGACGAGTAATGTCTGGAGGAATGACATCGGACCCGCTGCTCCACCGCAACCTAAACCGCTCCTCTTTGAAGGGGCAAGTCGCCGTTAGTCGTCTAATCGCCAAAGAAGGAACTCGGAGAACCCAGCTTCCCACTCTGCCGCGAGATCTCAGGGGAGAAGATCCTATCCTCTCCTGTGCTCTCAATCCTATCCTCTCACTAGGCCCTGTTTTGAAGTCAAGTAAGTTGG